TCGGGGCTACACGATAGAGAATAACTTCGGGACTGCTGCCTCAACCACGATTTTCGGGTGATCTTCATAAGGTGAAAAAATAAAGAAGAAGAAGAAGAAAAAAAAAAATGGAGCTGAGGGTGTTTCTTCGCTTCTTGGAGCCGTTGGGGGACTTCGCTTGAAGGGTCACATTTTAAGTCGCCTGGCAAGAAACACAGCGGCGGGGATACCTAGAACCCACTGGTGTTTAAACGTACACCGCGGGAAATTCTTCAGTAAAAGGGAGCGTAGGAGCAGCCGACGTTTCGGGATTTACCTGCTGGCGACGAGCGATGGGTGAAACATTTGCAAAGCACCAGTAGGAGTTGAGTGGTATTTTCTTAAGCAACATCGGCGGGAGCAGCTTCGAGGACGAGGTCAACGGCGTTGATGCCACTAGGTTCCGTGAGATTCGGTCTCGGAATAACCCAGGACAAGTCCCCGATTCTCGATTGAACCCACATGCTGGGGTCGGGTAACCGACGGAAACTACTAGTGACTGAGTGGGCGGCTATAGTACGTTCGAGATTTTCGGAGGAGAACTGCACCTTCAATTGCGGATTCACGGGGTTGTTTCGACCCGACATTTACCGGTTTTCGGCAAGGAGTGCCGACAGTTTCGGAGGAGTATTCGGCGTTTTATTAAACGCGTGCGACAACAACGTTCGGGCAACATCGCGGAACTACACGGAGTTTTCAAGGGGTACGAACGACTTACGACGAACTGAAGAAGGCGGCAGCAACAGTGAAGGGGGGGGAGAGACAGCTGCATTTTTCATCTCTGCCCAGGAGCCCTCGGCACATTACGACAAATCGTCCGAACAACCCATTTCCAACTCTGCTACCGACAACTCGCCCTCGACCCGCCCACGACGACTGCATTAATTTCAACCACGTCAGGTGCTGCCAGCTGCAACTGCTGAAGATATCGCCTGATTCTGGTGATGTGAAGACAAAAAGAGTTCAGTTCGAATACTCGATCATTTACATTTCGGTTTCTGGTCTGCTGCTGCGGGTTCACCCTCGAAGATTTCTTGGGCACGTAATGCCCTGGTTTTGGTCATCGATTTCCACACCGACACATTCTCACCCGGACTTCTACGCTCAACACGCGCTTCTGTGGGACTTAACATATGTTTTGTTGTTTAAATCTCGGCGCAACTGCGAAACGTTTTCTATGTGGTTCTTTTCTTGGAGGGGGGGAGAAAGTGCTTTGCACAATTTCTTTCCTTGGCGTTTTCTCGAGCTTCTTCTTGACTTTGTCAGGATGCATCAGCACGACGGATGATCGCGATCACACCGACAAGATCAACGGTCTCTGCTACATCGCGATTGAGTTTCGCGTCAGACTGTTTCCTCCAAAGTTGCGCGTCACTTTCGACCGTCAGATCGAGATCTACATTCATTGAAGGTCCTTATTCCAACATTCATTTCGAACTGCTCAAGACCATCTGCGTCCGTCAGATCGACATCTGACTACATCAACGGCCTACATTCCAAATTTTCAAATTATATTGTCAAAAGCACTTCAGCCGTCGGATTCAGCTGAAGAGAAGATCAACGGCATCCTCGTTAAAACGAGCTTCTTCTACGTACAAGGTTGCCTTGCTTAGGAGGTGGGAGAGTGTAAGGATTTACAAATCCTTACTGAGGCACTCGTTAGCGAGGCCATCCCAAGGGTCACGCGACGAACCTGTTTGGCCTATTTCGTCGCACCGAACCACCCCCGAGTCGGCCCCCGCTCCAATCGCGACATCACCGAGCCATCTTCGCCCGACCTCCCCACCTTGCTAGCTTTTCCCCTATTTATGCCTCGTCACTTTCATTCTATCGACAATCAGTATTCAACCATTCTCGTTATTCGTTATTCTGCGCACTCTCTTTTACAACTCATAACAGAAGTCACCATTCCGTTCTTGACATGGTATAACCTAGGTTAGGATCCTGTGGGATCCCGTTCCTCTCGTTCACGTCCGTAGCGCCCGAGCCTGTTCCGTACCCTAGTGCCCGTTACGCTCGTACTCTCCCCTAGCGCCTATCGCGCTCGTCTCTCTCGTGCCCTAGCGCTCGTTGCGCCTGCCGTCGCGTCACCCCTGATGTCCCGTCCCGTCGCGTTGCCCCTGCTGTCCCGTCGCCCCTGCTGACCCGTCGCCACTGCTGGCCCGTCGCCCCTGCTGTCCCGTCGCGTCGCCCCTGCTGTCCCGTCGCCCCTGCTGTCCCGTCGCCCATGCTGTCGCGTCGCGTCGCCCCTGCTGTCCCGTCGTGTCGCGTCCGTCCCGTCCCGTCGCATGCGCCGCGCCTGTCCATCCCGCCGCGTCGCGCCGTCTGTCCCGTCCCCTCCTGCCGCGTCGCGCTGTCCGTCTGCGTCGCGCTGCCCGTCCCGTCCCGCCGCGTCGCGCATGCCCGCCTTGTCAGGTCGCGTCGCGCTGCCCGTCCCGTCACGTCGCGCTACCCCTGCCCGTAGCGCCGCGCCCTTATAGTCCCGCCGTGTCGCGCCCTACCCTGCGTTCCGTAGCGCCCTAGGCCTCCAACTCTGCCAGTCACGCCCTACCAAGCCGCTCTAAGTGTTTAGGGTTTGGACAGCAGCACTTCCCACCTCTTTGCTTCCGCTATGGCGACCCCTAGGGTCCTGCGCTTTGACGCTGAGGGTAGGCCCAGGGTCCTCGACATCAGACATTTTTGTCTGTTTGTCTTTAAAATCACGGGTTTTTTTTTAGTGGAATCTGGTTTCTAAGTGGCATGTTTATGGAATATATGATGATTTAGAAATTAGTTTTATGAAATGTCTGATTGAGTTAGAAGTGTTTTTCCAAGTTCATCTGATTTACTAGGGACCAGTACCAGGCTTGTCTGAAACCGAGGCTTATCCAGTTCGCCGTGATTGACGGTACTTCCGTCAATCACGGCAGTTACCGAGCATCCCATGTCATGTTTGGGGTGACGGCGCATCATTCGCGCACCGGTGGCTGTCTAGGTTCAGCCAGGGTTTGTCATATACATCCCGACGTGCCTGTTTCTGGATCATTCTGCAGCAGCTCTGGCTCTCATTGGGCAGTTCAGGACAACGCACATGAAAGTGGGTAGCAGCGACACGCACCGACGATGCACCTATGTCACGCTGGTGCATGTGTTCGTTGGGGCACCGCGGTGTGTGCCATCCCAGGCAAGCCAATGACTGACACGGTGTATGGTCAAGTTCATCCACTTTTAACCCCCCACTTTGCCACGCCTTAGCACAACCCTCTTCTCCAAACTCTCTCGTTTCTCGCCCAGGCATCATCCACTCAGGGCGTTCACGCCATGGATGATCCTGGTCATACACGACTTGCAGCTCCTCCCAGTTCTATGGCCCCACAACAGAAGACAGGCCTAGACTTCCTCAGACGGCCTGCCCCGACATCCACGCCCGTATTACCTACCGCCGAGCCGCCCACCCCCGTGTTGCCCCCCGACAATCCTCCCACAGCTAGTACTGAGCTGTGGCCCGAGGCGAATTTGCGCCGTCCGCTAAGCGACCAACCCGTCGATGCATCGCCGAGTAATAACGGCGGACGGATCGCAACGTCTTCAATCAGTGCTGCAAGGTCAGCGAGCCGAATTCGTTTCCCAACGGCTGGGCGCTTCACGCAAAGCACGCTTCGTTTCGCACGTACTCGTGTGCCTCACGTCCGCATCACGCCATTGCGGCCGCTTGCGGGGGCAACGACGGCCACGCCACCTGCTGCTGCTGGAGGAAGTGCTCCGCGACGTGACCAGGGTCCGTCAACGCCTACGGTGCTAGTGCCTGACCCGGACGCTCTATTGTCCGAGTTGCGGGAGAAGTGCCGCGACATATGGCAGCGACGGTTCCCGTGGCTGGTGATTTCGCAGCGCAATGAAGGTCAGCCGTGCATGAAATGCACGATCTGCACAACTTACGGGCCTCCAAACTGGCAGTACGGGAAGAACGGGCAAGGGGGAATCGACATCCAGAAGCAAACCATGCGCAAGCATGGTTTGTCCCGTAAGCACCAGGACGCCCTCAACAGGAAGGAGCGCGCGGAAGGTGGGAAGGTTGGGCAGCGCGGTATTGACGAGTATGAGGATGAGGCTGGTGAAGTGGCTCGGCTAAAACAACTTCTTTTAGTTGTTTTATTCATTTGCAAGTCGGATGTTCCCATCGCTTTGTTTGTTGGGCTTGTGTCGTTGCTTCAACTCCTCAAGACGCCTAACATCCCGGACAAGGCGCTCGGGACTTACCAGTCAGAGTAAGTCCATGATCGTGGGTGATCATTGATTGCATCAATGGCGGCTTTACTAATTATTTTTGTTTTTTACGTGCAGCTATGGATTTCAGCAGATGACAGAGGCCTTGTCGAAGCAGATGCAGCACATCATCGAGTCACCCTACTTGGGTATTCAGCTTGACGAGTCTACTGATAGGCGGCGCGGGAAGCATATGATCGTGTACTTGAGCTTCCTCAAGGACGCGAAGGTCGAGTGCGAGTTCTTCGGGCACCTCACAGTGGAGAAGTGCGACGCGTCATCTTTACTGGCCGTCCTTCTTGCACATCTGGAGAGCACTGGATTGGAAATCATTACTGGCCGTCCTTCTTGCACATCTGGAGAGCACTGAATTGGAAATCAGTAAGATCTCGGGCATCAGTACTGATGGCGCGAATGTGATGACCGGAGGAAACAACGGGATCTGCATTCAGCTGCGGTTGCGCATTCCGCATCTGGTGGCAACTCATTGCGTCGCTCACCGGTGAGTAGCATTGGGTTTAAACAAGCATGTGCCCTTCCACATTGAATACCCACGTAGACCCCTCACTGTACTTGTTGTTGTGTTGTGCAGAGAGGCGCTGGCAGCTAAAGACGCGGCAACTAACATGAAGGACTTCAACATCGTCGACAAGGTCGTACGTTCCGTGGCGAGCCTCATCGGGAACAGCTCCGTCCACCACAGTCGCTTTCTCGAGCTCCAAATGGTTCTGCACGCGATGCAGCTGGAGATGCAGGGTATCAAGGACGTGCGCTGGCTATCGCGTGGAGACGCCATCGATCGCTTTGTGGCCGTCCTTCCCGCGGCGATCGTGTTACTGCATGAGCAGGACAAGGACACGTATCACATGGTGACAAGTTTTAAGTTTCACTTCTTCTTGTTCTTCATTGCAGACGTCCTGAAGGAGTTGAACGACCTCAACAGGAAATTTCAGAGGCGCGCGGTGAGTTCTGTTAATTGTTTATTTGTCAAGCGATTCTTCTTGGGCCCGTATAATCGGTTGAGCTAACATCGACTCCTACTACTTGTTTCAGGTGGACGTCACTCGAGTGTCGGGGATGGTGGAGAACACCTGCGCGCAGCTGACGGCGTGCTACGTGGAGTACGGTGTTAACTTTGCAGAGGACAGCGACCGTCTCAGTGCTTTCCTGGAAGAACGCACGCATCCCTCCCGCCGTGAAGTCAAAGTAGAGGGGATGGACAGCGAAGGCAACGCCGTCACTCACACCTTCCAGTTGCACGAGCTGCCAATCCCAGGCGTGGAGTCACCACCGGATCTGGAATCGTGTGTGCGACTTGCCACCAAGTTTGCGAAGGAAGTGGTTAGCCGCCTCAAGTTCCGGTTTAAGAGCTTGGGGACCATGGTTGGTTCCAAGCTCTTTCTGCCCGACGCCTATCCAGATGGTGCTGCAAAGCGTGATCGCATCACTGGGGAGTGGTTCCGCTCCCTTCGCACGCTCTTCAATGGCGAGAACTGTGCTTTGCCTGGTACGCATATGCATTGCAGCCGAACTCTGGATGTGTTGATTTGTAACTGTGGATGTGTACATCGTTGACCACTCTGAGCACTGACTGCTTGTTTGGTTTCATTGTGCATGCTAGGTGTCAGCTGGAAGAAGGCAGAACGGGAACTGCCGCGCTTCACATGGATGATGTACGCGCAATACAAGGATTAGAGTTTCCACGGAGGCTTCAAGAACATGCTGCGAAGCGGTGACTGGGAGACGTCGTACCCGAACCTCTTCCGCTTGTGGATGGCCGTCGTGGTGTTACCGCTCAGCACAGTGGAGTGCGAGCGTGGTTTCAATCGCCAGAACGTCATTAAGTCCTGGCTTCGTGGCAACCTGTGCGACGCCAGGCTTGCTGATCTCATATGCATCTCTCTCCTGCAGTACAAGCCAGACTGGGACGATGTAGTTAAGCAGTGGCGTGGTGCAAGGCAGCAGCGCCCTGCAAAGGAAGTCAGTGGTGTGGCTAAGGGCAACAAGCGCAAGGGGCTGGCGGCAGAAGCAGATGACGTGGCACCAGAGACAGAGGCAGCTGAGAAGGCATACCCTGCCGTTAAGAAGCGACACAAGAGGGACAAGGTACCAGAAAGTGATAGTGAAGATGATGGCCTGGATGTCCGTGCAACGCTGACCCTCACCAGTGATTCTGACACAGAGTAGCTAAGTGATGGTGCTTCCTAGACTCGTAGTCTAGGTAGCTTAGAAGTTAGAAGCTGAACTGACTAGTGTAGAGTGGTTTATGCGAACTTTGTTAAACATAGAGTAGGCTGTTGGAAAATTTCTGATTTATAAGGTAGGACATATTCTAATATCTGATGCAGAAGACGGGCCCGAAGGGCCCGTCTGATGCGTCAGGCGGGTTCTGGCACTAGCGAGGACCCTTGGTAGGCCGCTCGAGTTTCGGTATGGCTCCTATGTGCGCGCCGCCTTTTAGATAGTCAGGTTCACGCAGATGAGTCTCTGTGGGCACACGCTTCAGGCGACCTTCCTAAGCCCGACGACCCTGCACCCTTAGGCGCTGACCCAAGCAGTGCAGACAGAGACCGTTATGCCCGCCAGCGTGCTGACATGACAACGTGGAAGTCGAGTGACGCTGCGGCCTGCATCGCCCTCAGCAGCCTCCTCCCTGAGTCTGAGGAGTCCCACTTCACTCAGATTCGCACGACTAGTGAGTTCCTGGCTACAATCAAGGCCCGCTACGCTACTCCCACCATTGTCTCTCTTGGTCGCCTATTCCTCCCGTTCCTGTTTCCTGGCCTCGCCTCGTTTGAGCGCTCTGCTGACTTGATTGCTCACCTGCGCTCGCTCGATTCTAGCTACCGCGCTGCCTGCACTAACGCACAGCTTGCACTGCTCCCTCCCCCTATTGCGATTACTATCTATTTCATCGCCACTAGCCTCCCTGACCGCCTTGCCTCGGTTCGTGACGCGCTTCTTTTGAAGCACCCTAGCGAGCTCACTATTGAGGTACTTGACTCTGCCCTCAAGGACGTCGAGAGCAACCTCCGATCGGTAGCCTCCGCCTCTGGTGATGTGCCCCCTCCACTGTTTCACGGGTGCACTGTCCCTCAGCTGCCCACCTTTACTGCCTCCCTCGCCACTGCCGCTACTGACGTGACCGCAGCTGCTGTTACGACTTCTTCTCGGTCTAGGGGTAGGAGTGGCAGGAGAGGCGGTCAGGGTGCGGGCGGAGGCGGTGGAGGTGGCGTGGAGAGCAGTGGTGGCAAGAGTACAGAGGTTGGAGGAGCCACTCGTGCAGCGGCTAGTGACTCCCCTGCTGCAGCTAGTGGCGGTGACGCTCGGGTTCGTCAGGCACCTGCTGGTCCACCAGCTGCAGGTGCTGGAGTGGCGGCTTGGTACCTGACTCAGCGGCAGCACCAGCAGCAGCCACTCCTCTCGCAGCAGCCATAGCAGCAGCAGCGGCAGCAGCAGACTCCGGGGCAGGGGTCAGGACCGCGTCAGCCGTCGCGTGGTGCCGTCCACCCTCTCTGCACCTATCTCGTTCAGACAGGTGCTCGCCGAGGCCTCCCCTGTGGCCGCACCCACCCACCGGGTCAGTGCTTTGCTCAGCTCACTGACACACTTCGTGCGGCCTACGGCGTTGGCGGCCCTGCCCCAGACTGGCTTCCCCTTGTTCAGACGTACGGCCCAGCTCTGTGGGGCATGTCGGCTTCTCACCTGCTTGATCTCTTAGGAACTCCTCATGCTATGTATGTTGTTGTTGACTCTAGTGCTTCTGACTCTGTTTACTCGAGTGTTGTTAGCTTAGGTGCTAGTGTTGCTGAGGTGCCTGTTGCTAGCGTAGGTACTTTTGTACTCACTAGTCTAGGAGCTACTCCGGAGGACACTTCGCTGTCTTTCACTCTGGACTCCGGAGCTTCGCACTGTTTCTTCCACGACCACACCACGCTTACTCCGCTTCCTGCGCTGGTCTCTGTAGCACTGGCTGATGCCACTTCGGGGCCAGTCAGTGCTCACTACACTACTACGCTCCCGTGCACAGCAGTTCCCTCGGGTTTCCTGACGGGCTTCCACGTCCCCCCGTTCTCCAGGAACTTGGTGGGTGTGAGGTCGCTCGTGAGTAGTCACGTGGGTGTGTGGTTTGAGCCTTCTGGCGAGACTGCGGTTTGTGTCGACGGGGACACGTACGTGCCTCTGGCCACCTTTACCGCTGAGCAGAGCTCTGGTCTCTACATACTTCACACTGGCCCCCGAGGGCAGCAGCAGCAGCAGCAGCTGCTGCCCCCGACCCCTGTTACTGCCCCCCGTCAGGTTCTCGCGTCTCACCAGGTTGCCGCGTCTCACCATGTTGCTTCGTCTTGCTCCTGTCGGTCGCTTGCTCACCCCACAGTTCTGTGGCACCACCGCATGGGGCACCCGTCCATTCCTCGCCTGCGCACTATGTCTAGTCAGCGTCTTGTCTTAGGCCTCCCGCGTGTCTTGCCGTCGCTGCCGCCTTCGCTTGCACCACCTTGCGGTCCCTGCGTCGAGGGTCGGCTGCGCGCCACCCCTCACTCCTCCTCCCTTCTTCCGGCCACCGAGCCCTTCGAGACTCTCCACTTGGACGTCTGGGGCCCCGCCCCTCGCCCTGGCCCTGAGCGAGAGAGTTTCTTTCTGGTGGTCATTGACGACTACTCTCGCTACACCACAGTGTTCCCCCTGGCAAAGAAGTCTGAGGTGACTTCTACGCTGATCCGGTGGTTACCTACCACTGTGGACACTCGGGGTCGTCGTGTCAGCTCTCTTCACTCCGACCGCGGGGGTGAGTTTCGCTTCGGCATTCTCGCTGGATTTTGTCGCGAGCAAGGCATCCGTCAGTCATGGACACTTCCAGAGTCCCCACAGCAAAATGGGGTTGCTGAGCGCCGCATAGGCTTGGTCATGGAGATTGCACGCACCTCCATGATCCACGCCCGTGCGCCCCATTTTCTGCGGCCCTACGCGGTTCGGTACGCCGCCATGTGTCTCTCGGCCAGAGGCTTCACCGACCAGTCTTTGGACCGGGTCCCTTGGTGTTGCGTCGCGTTTTCGTGTCTGGGGCTGCTTGGCGCTTCATTGCGACACCTCCGCGAACAAGCTCTCCCCTCGCGCCCTTCCTTGTGTCTTCCTTGGTTTTCCCGAGGACTCCTCTGACTTCACCTTTTACCACCCTCCCCTTCACCGGTTTTTTTACTCCCGCGACGTTCGTTTTGTGGAGTCAGTCCCCTACTACACTCGGTACCCCTGTCGAGGTCTCTCGGTTACTCCCCCCCCTCTCTTCCTGACTCCCGCTCCCCCTCCTGCCCCTCCGGTACAGCCCCCCCCCCCACCCCCTGGTCCAGCCCCGTCACGTGTGTCACACGCTACCCCCCCCCCCCCTCGGTAGCCCCTCAGGTGCCGTCCCCTTCTCCACAATCCTCCTCATAGCCTACTGCAGACGCTGCGGGAGCAGGTGCTCATGTCGAGGACCCTAGGGGTGCTACCTCTAGAGGTGTTGGAGTTGGAGCTGAGACTGTGCCTGCACGAGGCCCTGGTGCTGGGGGTGCTGGAGTTGGAGCTTAGCCTGTGTCTGCAGGAGGTTCTAGTCTTCGGGGAGCTGGTGTTGGTCAAGCTGTCCCTGGGGGTGCTCGGACTGGGGGTGCGGGTGCGCCCTCTACGAGACCTGGAGAGTCTGGGAGTGGCCGCGTTGCTGCTGGTGGTGCTGGCTCTGGGGGCGGTGCGACTGGTGCGCTGGAGAGCAGTCCTGGGGCTACCACCGCCCCAGACACTACTCCTCCCCCCCACCCCTACCTGACCCGGCACCAGGCCCGTCTTCGCCTTGCACGTGAGGAGCAGCTGGAGTTGGAGCGGGAGGGGCGAGAGTTGGAGCGGCAGCAGCTGGAGCTAAAGTAGCAGGCGCAGCAGCCGCAGCTGCAGGAGCAGTTGGAGGAGCAGCAGCCGCAGCTACAGGAGCAGTTGGAGCAGCAGCAACCGCAGCTGGAGGAGCCGCAGCCGCCGCAGCAGGAGCAGCAGCAGCAGCCACCACCTCCGCCTCCTGTCTCTGGCCTTAGGACCCTCGGTCTCCCCTCTCCCTCTCCTCCCCCCTCTCCCTCTCTTCCTGTCTCCGGCCACGTTTCCTCCGCGTGACCCCACCCCAGCTGTTTTCCCCCGTTCTCAGCCTCCGTTGTCCCCTCCTCTTTCTCACGCTTGGACTTCTCGCTCTCGTTGTGCTCGTCCCTCGTCCCATGTCCCTCTCACTGACCTCCGTATTGTCCTGTTCCGTCCTAGTCCGCCTCGTTCGTCTCCGTCTGTGCTTCCTTCTCCTCCTGAGTCGGCCCTCACTGCTTCCCTCTCTACTCCTGTCATTGACTACTACCGCACATACCGACCTGTTCTCTCTCGTGTTCTCGCCTCTCTTGTTACGGACCCTCGTGCCTCTCTGTCCTCTGTCTCCGCTCTTACTGCCGCAGTCAGTGAGTTTGCCTCTACTCGCCGCCTTGACTACGCCACTATTCTTGTGGCTGCTCCTCCTACCTTTCCTCTGGCCGTCGGGGGTGAGTCTGCCCTTGGCTGTGACGCCCTAGAGGACAGGCAGTTTGAGCTAGAGTTCCTGGCAGCCGCTTCCCCTCATCTCTGTGCCATGCTGCTCGCCCCTGAGGGAGACCCCGACGCCCTTGACATACCTACTCCTCGCACTTACGCCGAGGCAGTGTCAGGGCCTTGAGCCTCTCAGTGGAGAGCTGCCATGGACTCAGAGATGGCCTCCTACAGATCCACAGGCACCTACGTCGACGAGGTTCCCCCCCCTGGGGCGAACGTAGTCGATGGCATGTGGATCTTCAGGGTGAAGCGGCCAACGGGATTTCCTCCGGTCTTCAAGGCGCGCTATGTGGCTAGAGGTTTCAGTCAGCGCGAGGGAGTTGACTTCTTTCAGACCTTCGCGCCTACCCCGAAGATGACCACTCTTCGGGTGTTACTGCGCGTAGCAGCACAGAGAGACAACGAGCTACACTCTCTCAACTTCTCCACTGCCTTCCTTCAAGGTAGCCTACACGAGGAGGTCTGGTTGCGTCGTCCCTCTGCTTTCACTGGCACTTTCCCTCCTGGGACCCAGTGGAGGCTGACGTGAGCGGCACGACACCCTTCGTTCTACCCTGTCTGACCTTAGTTTCAGCCGTCTTCTGCCGACCCGTCGCTGTTTG